TCGACGATCTGCTCAACGATCCACTCAGCGTTCCCCAGACATTGGCGCAGAACCTTCCCAAGGCCGCCAACTACTTCTTCTCTTACATGATTCTGCAAGCGCTCAGTATCAGTTCCGGTACTCTGCTGCAAATTGGTGCTGTCGTTGTCATCATCTTCCTCCGTTTCCTGGACACCACACCGCGCGAGAAGGTTTCAAGGGTGTTGCAAAGACCGGGTATCAACTGGGGTACCATGATCCCGGTCTATACCAACTTTGCTGCCATTGGTAAGTTTGTCTATCGAGGTGAACCTTTACATAAACTAACGATACCCAGGTCTCATCTACTCAGTTGTCGCGCCCTTGATCCTAATCATGATGTTGATTACCTTCAGTCTCTTCTGGTTTACGTACAGGTACCAGATGATCTATGTCAGCTACGCCAAGGCCGAAACCAACGGTCTCATCTTCCCCAAAGCGGTCAACCAACTGTTCACTGGACTCTACTTCCTCGAGCTCTGCATGATCGGTTTGTTCTTCCTACAGGAAGACGAGCAGGGGAGGCAATCGTGTTTCCCTCAGGCTATTATCATGATCATCATTATGGTCTTCACTGTGCTTTACCAGGTCGTACTGAACAGAGCGTTCGGGCCTCTCTTCACGTACTTGCCAATTACATTCGAAGACGAGGCGGTCCTGCGAGACGAAGAGTGGCAACGGGCACAGGCCAGCAAGTGGGAACGGGAGGACGAACACCAAGGTCTTATGTCTCAGGAAGACGCACAGCGGACAGCCGAGGAGCGCGAACGAGCACACCTAGACGAACAAAACCGCCTCGAGGAAAGGAAGGAACGCGAGGCAGCCCATGGCCCTGGATCATACGAGCTCAGCAATCTGGATGGTAACATGCCACCCGCCGGCTACGGGCAGTCACCTCGACCCGACAATCGTGCGCGCAACTCAAGCTGGGCTGACCGCTCACAACGCTCCCGCCGCAGTTCGCGCTCGCAGTCCCACCACAAGAAGCGCAAAGACCCTCTAGACATCATGACCAACGCACTCAAGAAGGGTCTCGACGACGTCGCAAAGCCCATCCGCGACGCAGAAGCGCAAGTCCTTCCCGCTGGCAACCTCTTCGACGAAGTCGACGACGAGCTCGCCGACATTGAGCCCGAAGCCCGCCAGAAGCTCATCAAGCGCTCTTTCCAACATCCCGCCACCCGCGCTATCCAGCCCGCTGTTTGGATCCCGCATGATGACCTGGGTGTTGCTAAGGATGAGATCCAGCGTACTAGTGCGTTTACCAAGCGCGTGTGGATCACGAGTGTGAATGCGCGGTTGGATGCGAGTGGCAGTGTTATTTACAGGGGATTGCCGCCGGATCGGGATCCGTTTGAGAATATTGAGGTTTAAACGGGTAGTTGTTCAGAACGATGGGAGGTGGACTTGTTGTATCATCATTGTGGTGTGGATGTTATTTTCTTTTCTCTTTCGTGTTAGCCGTTCGCGGCACCTTTATAGCATACAAGCATAGCGTGGAGTTTCATGGCATTGGGGGGGCATCAGATGCATTCATCGTCTTCTTCTAAGACTATTACTACCTATTCCGTATAACTACCTGACATTAGAGGCATAAGACCTCATCCATTATTCAAAATATCAGATCCTCCAGATTATCGTTCCAGCCGCACACAAACTCGTCTGTTTCCGCATTCGCAAGCCCATCATCCGCCGCAGCTCTAGCTTCAAAGGCATCCATGAGCTCCTCAAAGGAATTCTGCTCCACGATACAAGGTTCTTGGGGTAGCGGGGGGTCCGCCCATATGCTCTCCGCCGCTGGACTCGCGGGGAAAAAGGAAGCCGGGAGGTCGTCAGCGGGCGCCACATCCATGATCCAAGGTTCTTGGACCATCGGGGCGTCCGCCCATATACTCTCAGCCGCTGAATACGCGGGGAAAGAGAAGGCCGGGAGGTTGTCAACGGTTTCCACAGCTTCGGCGCTGTCTTGCCCACGCTCTTGTAGGCGGCAGGGGGTTCCTGCCTCGACGCGTTGGTCGATGGTGTACGTATTGAAGCCGGCAAACGGGGCGGCTTCGAACGCGAAAATGTCCTCTAATGAGGAGTTGGTGGTCGTGGTGGTGTCAGGGGTTGGTACCTGGGCTACGACGACCGGCCTAGTCTTGGGAGGTCGTCCCCTCTTCTTTGGTACCTGAACCTCACCCACAGGCTTAGCCTTGGGAGGTCTGCCTCTCTTCTTTGGTACCTTTGGTACCTCATCTTCGCCTCCTGACTGCCTCTTTCTCTTTGTAGGCGCGGAGGGAACGGGGACGGAGGGAGTTGTTGGCCATGTTGACGACACCTCCCCGTAATCATCCCGTGTGAGGTCAAAACTTTGGCCATGGGTAGTAGCATCGATGATACTACTCTGCTGCTGCTGAAACATAGGCGTGAAGTTCCTTCTAACATTCTGAAACATAGGCTTTGGGACGAAAGCAGTCTGAACCACAGGCTGACTAAACCTCTGTGGCTGCCGTGCGTAGGGGGAAGAATAGCAATTAGTAGCAGCGACGCCAGGAGCATTCACGGCGCCGGGTTGTGGCCTACCCGGCATGTGAGAAAAGTATTGCTGCTGGTTGGGGACGAAACCAGCAGGAGGAAAGCAATTTGTGGCAGCGACGCCAGGAGTGCTCACGGCGCCGGGTTGTGACATACCCTGCATGTGATAAGGGTATTGCTGGTTGGGGGCGAAACCAGCAGGAAAGCAGTTAGTAGCAGCGACGCCAGGAGGAGGAAACTGTTTTGGCATGCTCATTTGTTGCGGCATGCTCATTTGTTGTGGCATGCTCAATTGTTGGGGTGGGTAGGTTGGCCTTGGAGCGGAGATGGTGATCCACTGCTGCAAGCCTGTACTCCACATGCGCTGGTTTTGGGTTGCGGTGTAGGCGGAGTAAGACATGTTGGTGTATGTGGAGGGTGTCTGTTGTGGGTGTGTGAGTGGTGTTGAGGCAGTGTGTGTGGGTGGAGAATTTGGTAGTTCAAGATACTTTTGAAAGTTGTGATGGTGAAAGTAATTTGGTCTGAGAGTTTGAGATATTAGGAGAGACGGAAGGGGATATCAGCTATTTATGGCAGCGCAGAAAAGAAGATGTTCGGACTGCGATATATTGTAACTATGGTTCATTTTGAGGTGTTTTCATGACTGTATGCTATGGATGTAACAGCGGCGTTGGAGGCCGAGCACATAGGCGCAATTAGACCAGTAGAGAGCATTGCAATTACCTGAGAAAACACGGAAGCGTCCTCTAAGGCATCCGTATGTCGCTTGGACCACACGAACAAGCCTATCGAGTCGATGTCAATTACGCGCGACCTCGCACACTTGATTTGACTTGTGACTCTTCTCCAAATTTTCTCGAGCCGAGCCACTATGCTAGCCGCTTGTGTCGGGGCCACAACCCGTGATGATACCAAAATCCCCTAGAGTCCAGCTTCCGACCCAAGGCACCCATATCGCGCGGTAAAGCACGGATACCCTGCTCTTCCATGAGTTCGCCCACCCATTTAGCGAACTCCTGGCGCGTCTCCACCTCCTCCTTAGTCATGGACGACTCGGTCATGGAGCTGAAGCTCATGATGAGGTCGAACCAGTCGTACACGCGCATATCAGCAATGATCCAGCGCTTGCCCGGCGTAAACTTCCGATGAGTTGCGATTATCGCTCTTGCGACGTCTTCGCCGTGGATGAAGTGTACAGCGCCTCGCTTAGCAACATCGTCTTTGGACTGCCCGAGGCGAGGCAGCCATCTCGCGGGGACGCGCTCGCCGCCGTATAGGCCCGATAGATTCAGCACACAGCCGTGGAGCGCTAGCAGTTCGTCTTCCGCAACCGCTCGCTTATCCTCTTTGTCGTATGGCGCGTCATCGGCGGACCAGTCATTGGGCAGTTTGTTGAAGATACCTGTGGATCCGAGCTGCACCCAATTGTTCTTTGCACCGTGAACGGAGCGGTAGAGCCCTACGATGGTCTTTGACTGCGAGTGCCCCACCAATGGAAAAGTGATGATTACGGTTTGCGCTGCTGGCAGGCGCTTGTATGGCTCCGCATCACCAGACTCCGGGTCGAACTTGAACGGGATCGTGTTGTCTCTTCCGGTTGTGGTGGTTGCGGCATACGTGATATCGGTGTCCTCCAGTTGCGGAATCAGGAACGTGGACGTCCATCCAGCGCCCAGAATCAGTAGGTCCACCTCTTTCATTTGCTCGCGTAGCATTCTGTGTTGCGGGTGTGGCGATTATTGCCGTGGAAAATGTAGCATACACGCACGGAAGACTTTATGTTTGGATGTTATAGATTTCAAGAGGTTGAGCCAATGGGTGACACAAGGTGGGAACGACAGCTGGTGTTGCGTATGAAGTCGTGACGTCTCCACACGAGCCAAATTAGCTTGCTTCCCGCACGGCCCATCTGTTCGGCGCAACCATCCGCGCGGGAGTTCCTAACCGGCAGGAGGCTGGTGTTACTTATTTGAAAGCCTACATACTTTAGACTTTTTCGGGCTATAGGAGTTCATGAACTGTGTATGCTACATCTCAAGGTGGAGGTAAGTACCATGCTGAAAGCGACGAAAATACTCTGGATTTGGCCTCTAGAAACTTGGTTCTAGAGGTGTCAATCCAGCCATAAGAATCCAATGGGAGCAAGTTGAATCGTGCCCATGGCAGGCGCCATCTCAGTCCAGACGCCAGTTTCCCGATCAGGTAAGTTGTAGAGACGTGGGTTCTCGCAAATCTGCTTTCAATCGCAATCTAGAATTGACGTCATGTGCGGGAGCTTCTTCTCACGTGCCAGCGCGGTAGCCCATTACATCTGAAACGCGCTGATTGGCTGCTTCCACTTCCAGGGGCCGCGTCTTCGTCATCACTATCACTATGAGCTGCGCATCAGCCCGCGAGCTCAGATAATCTGTCGCAAAGATCATTCGCTCATTGCATGCTGTTTGCGCATTCCAATTGATCATCCAATGCGAACATCACGAGTTTCCCGAGACGCGTCCCGCGTTGTCGCAGCGAGTCGCACGCAACGAGCGTTACGTCAGACACGAAGCGCGACCAATGCGCCAGCTCCAGTCAAACGCGAACCAGGTAGCGACGAGAATGCTGGATCAGATTTAGACCTCAGCTCTGCGCCAGCGGACTCCGCCTCAGATGGTGAGACGCGACGAATGCCTATGAAGAGGAAAAGAGGCCAGGATATGCCAATCCTTGTAAAGAAGGAGGCAGAGGAGACATCAATCACTGCAATCGCGTCCCCGAAGAAAGTCGCCAAGGTCAAGAAAGCGCGTCGTGCGCCTGCGAAGAAGATCAAGACCAGCGATGGAACTATCACGATGGAGCCACCTGCGAACTGGGAGGAGATATATACTCTGACGAGAGAGATGCGGAACGAGAACCTCGCACCGGTGGACACTATGGGTTGCGAGAGCCTGGCGAAGGACATCAGATCGCCTCGCGATCGACGGTTTCAGACGCTCATAGCGTTGATGCTGAGCAGCCAGACCAAAGACACCGTACTAGCGCCTGTCATGCGCGGTATGCAGGAGAGGATGCCTGGGGTATGTGATCCAAAGCTATATTCCTATTCCCAGTTAACATAGTGCAGGGCTTCAATCTCGAATCGGTCCTCGCCTTAGAACCCCCCGAACTGAACGCGTTCATCAACAAAGTCGGCTTCCACAACCTCAAGACCAAGTACATCAAGCAAACGGCCGAGATATTGAGAGACAAATTCGACGGCGAAATTCCAGATACTATCGAAGGGCTGGTGTCACTACCGGGTGTCGGACCTAAGATGGGGTACCTGACGATGAGCGCAGCTTGGGGCAAAACAGAGGGCATTGGTGTCGATGTCCACGTCCACCGCATCACCAACCTATGGGGCTGGCACAAGACTCAGCAGCCAGAACAGACGCGTGCAGCGCTAGAGTCATGGCTGCCAAAAGACAAGTGGCATGACATTAATAACCTGCTCGTGGGCTTTGGGCAGACGATATGCCTGCCTGTGGGCAGGAAGTGTGGCGATTGCAAGTTGGCGGAGAGAGGTCTCTGTCCTTCAGCAGTCGTAGCTAAGAGCACAAAAATCAAGAAAGAAGCTGTTGTGAAACTAGAAGCGCCCAATGGCAGCGAAGAGGCGATGGTGAAAGAAGAGAAGGTGGTGGCTGAAGTCGATGAGATCAAAGCAGAAGATGTGGAAGCTGCGTCAGACATAGAAGACATTGGGCAGGCGCCACGAAGGAGGCCGCAGAGAAAGAAGTAGTAAGTAGTCCTAAAACATATTCTGAAGCCATGGCACGGCGTCTGACCTCCAAATCAGAAGCACACACCTTGAACACATTTTTACGTTGTGTCGCGTTGGTTTGGTGTTCAGCAGCAAACGCTCGAGTACGGTCCTGGAGTGGGCCCTTTCGTCATGCAGGCATTGGGACCATATCGCGCCTTCCAGTCTTCAACAGGCAACGGCACGCGATCGAGCTCTTGTCTTCATTCCCCAGTCTACTCACCGTGAATTTCTGCGAGCGCCCCCCAAACGAGTGCTGACAACGCTTCTATCACATTCTCCTCTAGGCAATTCACTGCATACCAGCTAAGGGCTGCCTGGTCAAGCACGGTCTTTGGTCCCTGGCGACCTCATCCGTGGTACTCAAATACGCTCCCCCACGTCTACATAAGAATTCGCGATTGGCCCACCCCTCAACCACACTTGCGAAGAGAAATTCCACCGATCTCACTTCCGCAGACGCAGACCCACAACGCCGCTGCACCTACACCACAGCAGCTAACTACCACAAGGCTCAACGATCAGCGTCCACTACCACGCCATCCACCCGTGTGGGAGCCAGCACCATGCCATCTCGACCAGAATACGAGGCGCCTACTCGGAGTCAGTCACGACGTGAGGGCCGTTGCGCTGCATCCGAATCAACAGAATCCGATCCTGCATACGTCCCCATTCTCCAACGCGCCTTTCCGCGCGTCGCGATTCTACTGACATGCGCCATCTACCTCGCATCATCATTCGCAGCTGTCTACGTCGGATTCCACGGCATCGCGAACACCATACACCCTCGAGATAAACAAGCGGTAGACGAGTATTTGGTGCTTTCAACATCCAAGTTCACAGAAGATGCACTGTACAAGAATTTGGATTCGCTACTTTCTAGCCAACTAAACCGCGGCTTCATGGAGACCCATGAAGACTGTCTTGTCCGCGGTCTAAAGGAGGCCAACTACGAACTCTACGGCCTCGGCTTTCAGTACCCCGACATGCGCACGCAGGTCATGGACTGGACAATGGAGAACTGTGGTAGACTGCAGTACACGCCACAAGTGGTGATACAGGATCCAACCACACAGCAGGCTGTGCTGACATTCTGGGCGGATGCCAGCTATCGCTCTCGCCATATACTTGAGGGAGCTCTGGGTGCCGTGCAGCAGCAGGCTCGTCGTTTCTGGAACCGACTTTCCAGCGCGTTCACGCATAAGAAACCATCTCCCATCACCGAAAACGTTCCTGTTAGCGCCAACACTGGCGGAACGCTTCCTCCGAGTCGAGCCCTGCCCAAAGTACCGTTCGGCTTCGCTCTGCGCTGCGAGTCCGCCGAGCCATGCCGCCTAGTCTACCCATCCGGTTCTTCTAAGCGTGCAAATAAAGTCAGCGTCTCACGCGAGGTCCTCGCGAAGCTCAAACGCGAGATCAAAGAAATGCGGGACGCCAGCCGCAAGGTCAAAAAAGCTAAATGGGCTGCGGAGCGGGTTGTGATCTTTTTCGACTACATCCACGCCTCTATCTTGGTGGTCATGTTTGCGATCATCTTCAGTGTGGCACCATTCGTCATACCCAAGGCCCTTCGCCCTCCTCCCCCTTCCCGCAAGACGGAACAGATCAAAATCATGCCCGCATCCCTGCATTTTTGTTTTGTAGGGAGACTGATACAAGAGCTGTTGTTTGATTATCCAATACAGCTCCCGTATGGCGCCCGGTGGGTAACGCCCTTCCAGCTCTACTTCCTGTTCGTTGGTAACACGATGCTTCTTCAATTCTTCATCATTAGCGGACCGCGGTTCGAGAATATCAACCTCGTATACAAGCAGATCAAAGAGCTCTACTTCATCGCCCGAGGGTGGGAGGTACCTGACGGAGCGATGGACAGCATGTTGACTTGGTACGGAATTCACATTCAGCCGGCGGACCCCAAGCCCAAGCCTACGGAGGTTCCTCGCGGAACGATGGATAATATACTCGCTTGGAACGGAATTCGCTTTGAAGCGGTGGACTCCAAATTCAAGCTTCCGGAGGTACCTAGCGGAGTGATTGACAAAATGTTCTATCAGTGCGGAATTCAATTTCAATACGCGGACCCCAAACCCAAGCCGACGGAGGAACCGGCCACGGTCAAAGTAACCATGTCTTCCCCATCTGATAACCGCCAACAGCACAGGCAGTCGCACCCATCGCACCAGGGTCTGGCCGCTCCGACCACTTTCCTCCAAGCAGGTCCCGTGGCGCACTTCAAGAAGGTCCAAGAAGGTCCCGAGGTGCACTTCAAGAAGGTCCAAGAAGCGTCAAAATCTCAGCCGGCCGAGTATATCGATTTTCCCGATATCGGATCCCTCGTCGATACTGACAGCGAGACCGAGTCTGAGGACGAGCATGGTAGCTTCGTCGACCTGGCCTGTGGCGTTACGCCTCAAGTCAGCGATGCAGAATCTGGCTGGTCTATTGTGGATGCTTAGGAAAGGCATGAACATCTAGTATAGGATATGACACGGTTGTTGTCTCATGGCACGTAGTACGGGAGTTGTCAGACATGTCGGCGCTAGAGCTACTCCGTCTGGCGCGTGTGGTGCAAGTATGGTATATGTGCAAGAACATGGTTCTTTTTGCACGGCGATCGATGTCGGCCTCAATGGCTGTCGGTATCTACTAGTAGTGTCAGATCAATAAAAATGATAAATTTCATGTTATCCCCCATTCGTGACCATGATACCCAGAAATGTCGAGCATGAAGATGAGATGATTCAGCATGGTTGGAAGCCAGTGAAAGTTGCTACAATCTACACCTCTTGGAGGACTTGCCTAATCGGGACTATGTTGACTTGACTCATAAAATAGGGTGATGGTGACGGATCGGGAGAGTGAATAGAAAAACCACCACAATCCACGGTTTTCGCGACAAGTTACTCATTTAAGAAGGAGTTCGATGTGAGATGGGACGAAACAGAGTTGGAAGCCCGACTTTGCTTGTACACCAGTACCCAGCGACACCATGAACTCATACCACTAAAGACAGATACCATGCAAGAAAGTAACATTAAAAGTACACTACACTACCACATCCTAGATCCGACGACCAACTAATCTCAAAACCCCGCTCCAGAACTCCAGCGCTTTTACAAATCATCCTACACAATCCCCCTCCCTCTATTTCTTGCCATTTCCATTCCCGTTCCCATTCCCATTCCCGACACCAAGACACTTCCCCGCATCCTCCAATTCACCCAACACCCTCATCTCAAGCTCACTCAGCGCATCCTCACCTGATTCCTTCCGGCTACTCAGCATCTCCAGCTCGCGCTCATCAACAGCAACAATACGCTCACGCAGCGCACTCTTGCGACTCAACCAGCTCTCAACGTCTTCCTTGATATTTTCCTTGTCCCAGTCTAGCAGAGCGACTTCGTTGGCTTGGATACCCAACTTGGGACCTTGTTTGCGGACGTTTTCGAGGATGCTGGCGATGAGGGAGAGGGAGTGGACTTCCGAGGCGACGGTCAGTGTGATTTTTGTGGCTGATGTGCGGGACGAAGGGTTCGAGTTTATGCTTAGTGCTGAACGGGCGAGTTGCTCGGGGAATTGGTTTAGGAAGGATGAGATTTCCGCGGCGATGGGCGGGCCGACGGAGAGGAGGAGGTTGAGGCAGAGGGGCAGGATGCCTTTTGTCCAGATGCTGTACATGCGTGATGGGTTGTCGAAGGGTCCCATGCCGTTGGTGCGTCGGTAGTAGTTCATGATGTTTGCGGTGTTGAGTTGGCTGAGTATGCCTTCCACGGCCATGGTCTCGGCGAGGGCTGAGATGCTCGATAGAGAGAGTAGGAAGAGGACGCTGAGCTCGCCGTAGATGGGGTCGTCGACGCCGTTGTGGGAGATTGTCAGGCGGTCGGCCCATGAGAATAGACTGGTGGCGTAGCGCACGGTGTTGCTGTTGGCGAAGAGGAGAGCGGCTTGTTGTTGCCACTTTGACATCTCTGGGATTGCAATGATACGTTGGAGAAGCGCAGTGAGGAGGGCGAAGTCAGATGGCGAGACGGATGCGGGTTCGGCGTGGAGTTGGTTAGCCAGGCTGCGGAAGCCCTTTGCAACCGTATCTGACAGGATCTCGAGGAGTTGGGTGGAGATGGGTTCCGTGTATTTGTTGTGGCTCGTGGGCATTGTGCCGCGGAAAGAGGAGCGGAAGGATGCGTCGTCTGACGTGTCCGTGTCTTCGATGAGATGGAAATGAAGGGCGAGGTACAGGATTCGTAGCAGAGACCGGTAGTAGTGCACAGCATCAGTCGAAAACACGTTCTCGAAATCGGGCGTAGAAGTGCGGATAGCGTTCCATACTGGAGCGAGTAGTTGGCGTGCCTCGGTTGTTCGTACTTTGGCCTCCACCAGCTTCTTAAGCAGTGCGAAAGCCAGATCTGCTCGCAGGACCATGAGCTGGCCAAACAACGCTTCCGGAAGATTCGATTGTTGATTGGCAACCATGCACTTCTGTATGACTCCGACAAGGACCTTGACTATGCGCTCATCCTTTGCTACGACTTGGCTCAGCTCAAGAGCCAGTAGCTTCCAGCCTTGGAGCAGTAGGACTTGAGACTCAACGAGGCCAAGGTTGTAGTTGGCCTTCTCCACTTCGGCAGCGAAGCCCGTACCTTCTCTAGGACCTGTCCATTTGCTGTTGAAGCCCAAAAGCTGTTGAGCAAGGTCGATGTCGTAGAAGAAGGCGCGCCCAAAGGTCTCCGGGTAGAGTGTGGTTCGCTTGAGGTTTCCCAATGAGACACCAGGATACTGTTGCTCGAGGTTCTGTTTGAGATAGCCGTGCAAGGATGTACTGTATGACGGTAGCTCCAAAGCAGTATCTTCCAGGTATGTCAGACTCGGCACGACATCCTTGAGCACAGTGATGTCGCCTACTTGCCGCGAGCTGTGGAGGTACATGGCGATGACTTCGCATGCTAACGACGCAAACCTGTTCTGGAAAGAGCGCTCCAGTGTCTCGCTATTGCTGCTCAATTTTGGTTGTTTGGGTTGCTTGGCCATCCACTTCAGGAAAGCAAGCAGCTTCTGGATCAAGTCTTTACGTTGCCTTAGGTCACCCATCGCCCACGACCAGTTGTTCTGCGCTGATGAAACAAACTCAAGCATGGCAGTGTAAAGAGGCCATGAAATCCCACTCGCGTCTTTCTCGGGCAAAGCCATGCTAGAAAGCGAATCGAGTGCTCGCGTGAGGAGAGCTTTGTTTCTTGAGTCATGGGTCGCATCCTTCTTGGAGCGAATCGACTCACGAGGTGTGCTACCAGTGAGCAGGTACAACGAGAACCATTGCTGCTTGCACGTTACTACAGCCGAAAGCAAGTTCCAGACGTTCGTCTGAATGTCGACTATTTGCAATGGCTCATCTAGTTGTGACAGCACACTCAAGAAGTTCTTTGCAGTCCGTGGTCCAAGGTGACCAAGTAGGGAAGGCGGTTCTTGCTGTTCAATCTGTTTCCGGGCAGTCTGCTTTGGGTCTCCGTCTGCCATTGCTGAGTCTTCTTGTCCAGCGACCCGAACAGCACCGCGTACAAGAGCTTCCAAAAGGAGCACGACCTGCGACTTCCACTTGTCACTGGTCGCATATAGTCGTGCTAATAATGGCGTAGCTTTGAACAACTGCTGCTCCAGGTGTGTCCAGGGCTTGTTAAGTAGTATTGCAACCCTGACAAGGACATCGGCGAAGGCCACAGTAGTTTGCGTCTGCTGCATCCACAAAGCACTCGAGGTCGTGAGCAACGTGATGTCACTGGGGCTGACACCAGTAACCAGAGATGTCATCAGCGGGTTCGTTGGAAGATCTGCACCAGATCGCGTAAGGTATAGCTGGGTAAGGTACTCAGCGATGGGCGCGATAGATTTGGCAAGTTTAGCAGATAGCTTGGGCTCGTCGTCGACGCTGTACGCAAGGTTCAAGATCGTTGTGAAAACCTCGCAGATAGCGATATTGATCTCAGGACGGTGGTTGGGTTGGGAGTATTTCCAGTTCAAAGAGCTCTCGTATATGCTGGCAAGGGTCCGGCCGAATGTAAAGAGGATGGTGCTCATGATCTTATCCGACGTTCCGCTTTCTGAAGGCGCAGATGCATTGAAGCGACTAAGTGCTTTTGTCGGCACTTTGCGAGACACCGATCGCTCAACGGCATCCTTGACGAGCCCCTTGTAAAGTCGAATGCATCCTATGAGGAAGTCATATCGCCCAAGAACCATCTCAGTTCCGATCAGAATAGTCGCCAAGCTTCCGTTGCCGTCGCCTTCTAGCAACCTGCTCCTAGCGAGCCAGGGCCACACCCTATGTGGTGAGACGATGATTAAGGCCTCTAGGAAGTGCGTGCAGTTGACCAGAAGCTCTAGAGAAGCCTCGTTACTAGGCTCCTGGCAGAGGTGAAGCAGCTCCTCCTCGAAAATGGCAAGCACAATGTTGACAGTATCCTGGCTGCTTTCAGCACCGATGCTGATCGCCTCCAGAAGTTCCGCTGAACAGATGCCCTCAGAAGCATGTAAAGAAGAATGCATCAAGTCGGCGAAGAGTCCGATGATCTCGATGACGCTTTCGCGAGATGCGGGTTGCTGCGTGGCGGTTTCGACCTTACTGCTGCCTACAGGGTATGTTGAAAGCAGCTCGACTAGGTACGAAAGTGTAGAGTGGTGATGATGCCATACCGCCACATAAGGCTGTGAGCTATCATCGACGATAATTCCTTCTGTGCCAGCAGGTATTCCAGACAGGCCGTCAGACTGTGTCGACCTGCCGGAGGTCAATAACCGTCGTTGCCCACGGAAGCTTGAAGGGGTTCCAGTCGAGAAGAGTGGAAGATTGGCTGTAAGTTCGACCCAGTTGGCATTCTCCTCCTCGCGCGTCAATGCATAATCCCTGAAGCCTTCTGGGAGGCGTTGCATAAGTCGGTTGTGGTTCCCAAGCTTCTCGATAAATGTAGGCATGCCGTTCTGCATGGTCTTGTCCCCGCGAGTCAATGCGCTACAGAATTTGAGGAAGGGCGTCATCTCGTAGGGATAGCGTAGGCGAGCTTCGTTGAGCAGCAGTGGTCGAAGGATGTATTCGTCTTCCAGGAAATACGCAACAACCGGATCAGCATGACGAGAAATCTCGCCATTCTCCCATCTACGGAAGGAGTTGTCACCGGTGAGAATTGTGTATGTTGTTACTATCAGATCCGGGCTGTACGCGACAATGTCACTGCCGACTGCGGCACGGATGAGTTGGAGGAACAGTAGACGAATCCTATCCTGTGATATCTGGTCGATCGATGTTCCAAATGCTGGCAGACTGGTCTCGACTAGCTGGTTGATGATAGCTAGCACGCCCACTGCTGAGCTAATGTTGGCCAGCTCCTCATAAGGCATCTTGCCGTCGAAGAGCTCATGATTCTCAAGTCTAGCCACGACCAAAGCAGCCTCTTCGAGTGGTGAAGTCTGA